CAGTCGGTGCCCGTGAGCTGCTCTTTCCATGCTGGTTCTCCCGTGCTGCTGCCACCTTGGCTTCACATCACTAGATGGGATTGTTTTTTTAGTCTAATTACGATTTATTTTCACAAATTTTTTTTTTTTTTTTTTTACTCCTTCCCTTCCTTTCCACTCCTCCTAGATATGGACTTTGAAGAACCAACAGTAACCCTTGAATGGGGCTAATGTTGCTTTCAAAGTTAACTCTGTCTTGGTACATTTGTATTGCCCGAGTGGCAAGAGTGGACTCTTTGCTCCTGGCTTACCTCCTGAAACGTGGGTGTAGACTGAGCTTGGTGTCCTACCCTACAAATGTGGAATAAGACACGCCTTACAAGTGCCATAACGTTGATCTAGAATATATTTTTTTATCAGTTTCTCTAGCAGCCATCCCTTCCCTTTACCCTTGTCTACCACCACCGACCCTCTTCTTTTTTTGGAGCCTTCTGGTGCGGGTAGCCGGCAGGTGGTGCTGACAGATGCCGAGCGATCCCTGCCCGAACCCCCAGCTCTGCCCTCCTGCCTCCTCCTTGTTCAGCACTTCATCCCTGCTTACTGCCAAAAAAAAAGTAAAAAACAAAACAAACAAACAAATAAACCAACCCCAAACCCTACAAACCAACTTGGCGTGGAGCTGTAGCTGCTGGGGAGATAATGGGGGTTGAAAGCTGTACTGAGTGGGGAGCCTTAAAAACTGCTGCGTAGAAGTACTGTGATCAGGGGAGCGATTTAGTAGCAATAATTAAGACTGAAGTAAGCAGGTGAATATTGAAACGAGCTTTGCTTATCAGTCCCTAATAATGACTTTTCAAACCTTCACAGAATGTCAGTTCACCTTTGAGAAGGCTATAGAGTACGTACCATTCGGTATGTACACTCTCTCCTCTATTTATAATGTTCCTCTTGGGAGAATTTTTTTGATTGTACAATACTGTGTTTATGAACATCAAAACCCTTTTTATAAGACAACCTTGCTTGACTTCTCAGGAAAAAAAAATAATTTCAATTGAAATGAACTGCATGAGAATTTGTATTTCTTGTAGGCTTTAAAATGTTAATAGTTTTAACTTACTAATAGTTCCTGAAGAAAATTATTCTGGAATTTGTACCTGTTCTTGTTCGGGTTTTGTTACTGTTTTTTTTTTTTTCCTTTCAGTTTTGTTTTGTTTTGGTTTTTTATGTTAAATCTTGTCCATGGGTTTTTATGTGTTAAAAACTTTTTGTCTTTTTATGTCTCATTTTTAGAAGCTGCTAACTTGTGCCAAACCTCCACTGCTGCTACTACGCCTGTGACTCTTACTACTCCATTCAATATAACGTCCTCTGTGGCTTCTGGGACTATCACAAACCCAGTCACAGTGGCAGCTGCAATGAGCATGAGAAGTCCAGTAAACGTATCAAGTGCAGTTAATATATCCAGTCCGATGAACCTAGGGCATCCTGTAACTATAACAAGTCCATTATCCATGACATCTCCATTAACGCTCACCACACCAGTCAATTTACCCACCCCAGTAACCGCTCCAGTGAATATAGCGCATCCAGTCACTATAACGTCTCCCATGAACCTCCCCACCCCGATGACGTTAGCTGGTCCCCTAAATATAGCGATGAGACCGGTAGAGAGCATGCCTTTCCTGCCCCAGGCCTTGCCCACGTCTCCTCCCTGGTAAAGAGTTTCTAAACAGTATTAAAAAGGATTAAAATGGAATCCTTACCAGCAGTTCTTTTTTTTTGGGGGGGGGTTTTGTTTGGTTGGGGGTTTTGTTTTGTTTTGTTGTTGGGCTTTTTGTTTTTTGTTTTGTTTTAGTTAATAATAAATTCAGACTTAAGACACTGGGGCAACGCGCACCATCAGAGACCATAAGTAGCATCTTCCCCTTGTTGATTTGGCTCGTGTGGTTCAAACTTGAGTTTCACTGGAGCACTTCATTTAAAGGTTTACCTTTTAGCTGACTGATGAGGAATTAGAGCAGATACTTATTTGCCAGAGTTTAAAAAAAAAAAAAAAAGAAAAAAAAAAAAGATCATTAAAAAACAGTTTTATGTTTTATCCCCCAAATTATAACTTAGAAAATTGTTTTAATCTAAACACTAGCAAAGACCCCTCTGTATCTCTTAACAGGGCAGATGGCTAATTTTAACTTGCTGGTCGTTAAGTCCACTGTTTCTGAGCTAGTGTAGAATCTTCGTCTGTGTTGATGTTTTGGTTTGTTTTTGTTTTTTTTTAATGAGTAATCACATTATAATGTTGTCATTTAAAAAAAAAAAAGAAAAAAATGCATTTTGGAGAAAATATGCATTTTACCTTTGGGAATATGATAATTTCAGGCAGCATTCCCTATGGGAAAGGTGATACCAGCTCTGATATGCAAAGCATATGATAACTTATCATTCTAACTTCAACATATAATAGGGATTGTGACCTGATATTTGGAGATGTAAATATTACCCAACATATTACCCTAAGGGAATATAGCATTGTAGTCAACATTTTTTTTTAAAAAAACTGTTATTGTTCGGTGAGAAACAGCCATGGCTGACAGAAGAGGAGTCGAAATGTGTGTAAACATGGTCTCTGAACAGTCAGACCCCTATGGGACTCTTATCTAGGAGCAAAAGGAGTGCTTTGAAACTTAAGAAATATTGCTTTAAGCTGGAAGATTCTGGAGGCACTGGGTATGATTTTTATGCCCTCTGCCTCCCAGTCAGAGCCTGCTGGTGTTGCAGCAGGGGACAGACGTGTTAGTTGTTCACTAGAAGTTTTGTCTTATATGAAATTGTATACAGTTTTTATTCTAACCACTAACTAGGTAGGATGCCCCTCCAGGACAAGCAGAGAGCGTCTTTTAATTTCTCCCCTATTTCTTAATCAAGTGTTGTGCAAATCTGTTCAACTTTGTAAATATTTGCAAACATCATCATTTTTACGTTACTCTTCTATTGTGTTAACACATTTCTATCGATTTGTGGGAGTTCTGGGGTGATGGTTTCGACTCTCCAGCTCAGAACTTCCCCACAAATGGTCACACATGTTTAAGCTACATGTGCTTTTTATTTCTTAACCTGTTTATCTGTACATAAAGTAGAAAGCAAAATCTAGGGAAACAGATATACTTTTTAGACTATCATGTCACATATTCACGTTTTTAAAACTTTGTTTAAAAAAAAAAAACAAAAAACAAACCACCCTAAACCCAAGACTCTACGTTTGAGAGAAAAAAAAAAAAAGAAAAAAAAGGAAAAAAAAAAAGGAGATAAAATTACAGTCGAGATGTTTTTATCTTAATGAAGTTGAAAGCTATGGAGATTAGCGTGTGCGCATTTTCACAGAGTGCTAGCAGGACTGACTAGTCAAAAATGGACTGCTGCCGTTTGTACCCTGCCGTGTCAGTGCAAGCAGTGATTGCCGGGCTGCTGGCTCAGGTGACAGGTATCTGTATCATTACGTGAAAACTGTTCTAGGGGCTTGGACTACATAGTAAAACAAAGAAAAAAAAAAAACAGAGAAAAAAAATAATAAAAAAAAATAGAGCTTAGTGTAAAATAATTTTATAAATGATCTTTTGTACTTTAGGACATCAAATTGTACAACTTTTGTATATATAAAAGCTTAGGAACTTTCTGTTTAGCAGAAAGGAAACACATTCCTACACTTTTAATGTATATGTTTGTTATAATGTCCATGTAAACATATGCCCTATGTTTGTGCCTTTTAATTAGTTTGTCTCAATAAACAAAAATGTAGAGAAGAATATGTAGCTATGACTTTGTTACCACTGTTCTTACTCCAGCTGTGTAGAGGTCTTTGTTTTTGCACTGTGTAGAGCGTGGCGTGCAGGCAGCTGCATGACTTAGGCCGGCCGGGCCGAAG